CCAAACAAGACATCAAAAACAAACACATCTCAACACTATATTCCACTATCCAAACAACCATCGCCCCTAACCTACCAACGTTCACCACCGCCTGGGAAAGGGAGCTGCAGCTAGAGATACCCGTAACTAAATGGAAACAGATTTTCAGACAAATACACAAAACATCGAGGAACACAATAACACAGGAGAGCAACTATAAACGAATAGCCCGGTGGCACTACACACCGTCGAAGCTTCATCATCTCTTCCCCACTACTGCAGACAGATGCTGGAGATGCCAGCAAACTGAGGGCACAACCACACACATATGGTGGACCTGTCCCGAGATCCGCAAATACTGGACACGAATTTCAGGAACACTGTATAAGATCTTCAGGACGCACGTCCCAATGCACCCAGACACATACCTCTTTCTCCTCCCTCCCACAAAAATGCATAAACACGAGAAAACTCTCTTAATACACCTCATCACAGCAGCCAACCAACTCATCCCCGCCCACTGGAAACAGCCACATGCACCCACCACACGGGAATGGCTACAAAAGGTAGAAACAATCAGAAACCTAGAAGAGACGTGCTACTCACTCACACATCAATATCAGGAATACACACACATATGGGACCCATGGATCCACTTTCTACGAAATAATTCTATCTAACTACTGGAACACGAAATGCACACCAGTCACAGCCCACACCAAAAACCAGCCCGAACATAGCCCATACAGAACGTTGATATGTACAATGTATAACTGAAATTGTCTATTGTTCAGTTATGTTGACTGAATGAATAACATTGTCTAAACACTACTGCTTTACATGTGACAAAACTGTAATAAAGGAAAATTTATAAATAAAAAAAAAAAAAAATGTTAAAAAAATCACTGCTCTAAACTTCTAAAGCATCTATTAATTAAACACTGAATTGAGAATTAACTTGCAGTATAAATGCAGTTAGTATGTACAAGATAATCTAAGCTACATAAGAGCATTCACCTAAATAAAACAGCAATATTGTACTATTATCGATATTGTTTTATTTAGTCACTAATATGGGCACCTGTCAACCCTGCACATGTACCTACCTAATAAAGGTTACCATTAAATATTTTTTAAACTTTGCTGTTCTTTAGAGATTCAGGCAAACACAAAATAAGCTTTGTTTACTATAAGAAGCATTTTGATAGATGCGTGAAAATGCATAACACAAAAATTATTAAAGCAATAAAGTTGTTATGGTGCGAGGAGGTCCTTGGCGCTATCTTACCACAGGGGATTAAACTATTAATGAATTATTTAAGATGGTGGAAGATGATACCAATCACTCTGCCCAGCTACTTCCTTTCTTGCTCCAAGGCTTCAATCAAGAAGACTAGGACCAGGCGCCATTTTTCATGGTTGCGTCTGGTGTTGCTCTATTAATAAAAGAAAACTACATGCAAACATGGTTTATTTACTCTATTCTTAATGAAACATTATAGTGCAAAGAGAGCCATACTTCCTTAACCCAGGGAAAGGTCAGAGTTACTTTGAAAGGTTTTCCTAACTGCGCCATATTTGCAATTCAAATAACATGGAATGTTTAAAGGAAAACTATAGTGTTAGGAATACAAAACTGGTAAAAAGACTAAAGGCAGTCTTAACCCTGTAATGTAAATATTGCAGTTTCTCTAAAACTGCAAAGTTTTACTCTGCACTGCAGGGTTTAGGGAACAATGGTCACTTCAATGGGATTAGGTGCTCTGGGTGCCTATACTGTCCCTTTAAACATTTAAGTTAGAATAATCTTTTCTTACTATATATGTTTACTCCTGTATTTTGAATGTTACGTCTAACATTTTTGTTGTTAAGTTTAAGTTCTTATTTAGTTTAATGTCTTAAATTATACATTAATCCTAAGTATTTTAAATTCTCTTTGTATTTTACAAACATTGTTAAAAGCAAAGAGTTTTTTTTAACCCACTTTTGAAAGACTCCACAAACAAATCCTGGATGGAAACACTTTTGTGCTCAAGTCTAACCTCCTTTTTTAAATTGTATTCGAACTGCAAGATATATTGTGTATGGAAATATATAAATATGTGTGGCATCATAGAAAGATTCACTCGAAGCATCATAACTACTACAATTTATTGGGTTTCTAAGTGACTCGACAAAAACAGGACTAGCAGCAACTGGAACTCGGCACGTTTGCTGGTTTTTTTTGATGATATGAACTTTGACTTAAAATAGAATCCCTAAAATAAAATAAAAATTAATTTTCAGAAGTACATTAATGAGAAAGATAAAGATAATGTTTGTGCCACAATGGTGCAAAAATGTTAAAACTGATCGCATTCTGTGATGCAAAATAGACCTTGAACGGTGAAGTGGACTCAGCATTAGTGATGTTGCTTAGGTGTTGGTGAAAATCAATACTCACAGGTTTAGATAATATGGCTCAGTTGATAGAAGCAAACAACATGCAATCATTGGTAACTTATTCCTAGGCAAATAGAAAAGTCATAGTGCAAAGGTTACAAGGGTTGAGTCATCTTTTTTAGCTTAGAGGAAATTGTGTGGACTAATGTAAGTGTTTTTCATAATTGCTCATTTGTATATGTACTGCTCAAATGACTTTAAATGTCAAAGTGAAAATTAAAATGTACATATTATCCCATGATGGAACGATCCTTGAGATCATTATAGGATTTGCATTTTGAGGTTTGTTTAACAGAGACAGGGATCTTAGAATACAAGCTAGGATGCTTAGCAGATCTAACATGTTCCTAAACCTCCATGTTGATTAAGTTATTTTTTTTTAAATATGACCATTTTGATTGGCAAAGCCAATGATTATGTTATTTGTAAACACATCCATTATTTATTCCTCTAATATATTAGATCAATTCTGGCGCATTAATGTACATCACATTGGCAGGAAATTAATAAAAAAATATATACATTTTTTTGTTTTTGTCAAAATGTTTTGAATTGGTTTTACCAAATCTGATTGCCTTGTGCCCATGTCAAACCTCTTACCTAGTAATCTCTTATTTCCCATCTAAAAGGGTTATTTACTAAAGTGAGAATCCAAAGTGAATTTCAAATTTAAGGTCAAAGTGGCTGAACTGGAAGCCTAGTTGACTTGGAGAACTCTTCCAGTTTGGCAATTTTAATAATCTATTTTTTTTTTTAGTGAATAACCAAGTTACGTTCTTGTTTGTCGTAAACAGGCACTTTGTCCTCATGCGTTGCAATAAGCAGCTAAGAGACCATACTAGACCTACTTTGATTAGTCCGCATTTAGCGTCACCAATTTGTTCAATACTCCAGTACACCGTGGAACTCGCTGCACAAAATTTGGACTGCATGTAAGGAACTGAGATTCTTACCATTATAACATTACAAGATGAAAGGTGAGACGTGACCACTGAGATTCCTGAGAATTAAGATGTTTCACAAGCACTGCAATAAGGAGTAGTGATTATAGTCAGTCAATGGAGAACCCTTTTAAACTACAGTCATAGGAGAAAGAAGGTACACTCTCTTTGAATTCTATGGTTTTACATATAAGGACATAATAACAATCAGTTTGGCTTTATTTGTGTTAAATAAATCAGAATATGGTGTTGTTGTTCATCTGAGTTTGTATTTACCTAATTTTAAGACCTGCTAAGGAACAGATCATTGTTATTATGTCCTGATATGTAAAACCATAGACTACAAATAGGGTGTATTTTCTTTTTCCTATGACTGTAAGTATAATTCATACAGGTAGATGGTTTTATTCAGGGTAGCATGGCCCTGGAGTCTAAAGTCTGGTTTGGAAACACTAGTATTTTAGACTTGTTAATTTTACTGGGTTGAGTATAATACAGAGAACAGCACTGAACAAAAAGCAATAATACAGAAACAAGTTTTTCATGAAATTTAACATCTAAAAATAAGAAAAAATGGCTTATGGCTAATTTGATGACACTGTGAAAGTGTTAGTGTTATACCTCTTCATAGGGTTACTCTTCCATTTTAATTAAATCAGGCCATTTGGTTGATGGTGATATGTTTTGGCAGCTTCTGAAGGAGGAGTGAAAAGCCAACGGTGGTGCATTTGAGAAATATTGTACACATGAAGTTATAATTGAAAGTTATTTCCTGGGCAAAATAACCCCCAAAATAGTAATAAGTCCCAATATTTCCCAAATGATTACACTGCTCAAAAGATATACATTAGGGGCACCATGTGCTATAAGGGGATGCTCTTTATACATAAATGACACTCTAATTGCTATTTTAAAGTTAGAAGTTGTCTCCTGTGCCGATAGCACACAGGGGTGCTGGCTGCCGACTTGCGGTACCATTCTTGTGAGGTGTATTCGGATGTTTATTGGCACAGTACTGCAGGGCCTTTGCTAGCCTTGCACTATGTAGGCTGGTGCTTTAAATGGTGGACTGCAATCTCAATGCTCTCCAGTCCTGGACTGGTCTGGGATATTTCGTAAGGTACTGCAGTATTTATGGCCATCCAGGCTACAGGCTTAGTATGTATGATGTCCAAGGAGGTGATGCAGTGGCCACTGGGTGAGATGAGACAGAAGACAGTGTTCAAGATATATTGTGGCAAACGGGTCTGCATCTCTTACACATGTAGGGATCTCTGTGAATGCTCCTGCACATTGCAAATGTCATATTGATCATAGTTGCTTAGATAGTAGATGGTAGTCACATACCTTGCAATCCAGCAATCTGCAGCTTTCAAATCCATTTCTAACATGCACTTCATGAGTAGAGCTACCAACACAAAAATCTGATGGCGATATTCAGCAAGAAAGGACATTTGCGTGACTTCCAGGGCAAAAGTTGACCCCCCCCCAGCCCTGCCCCTGTAATAGATCTCTTCTAGGGATTTCAAGGGACTGCCAAAAAACCTCCAAAGTAAATCAGGTGAACCAGAGTGTAAAACAAATAAGAAATGCCAATTATTGCAGCCACATAGTGTGACTTGCAAGTAGCCCATATACAATACCTGTCTATGCACAATGAAAAGACACAAAATCAAGTGAATATAACTGCATACTCCCCAAAAGATACTATAGAGAGACAATTTACAGAAAAGTAGCCAATCAGCTCTATTTATACATGACATAAATAATGTGGTCCCTTGTATACACACTATTACTGGCCTCCTGAGTGCCTCCTAGCTCAGTCATTACTCTATGTGCAGCAGGGTGAAAGTGATGGATATATGTCTCCAATATCAGGGTCCAGGAGATGCTCAGTATTTGCATCCATGCCCATACTAACTGTGCCCAGCAGATGCCCAGTGTCAGTGGCCCCCAGTATTCTCTATTGTTTAATGACTCCTATTCTTTAGGCGGTGGTGGGATTAAAGAGTGATTTAAATGTTTAATTGCAGAGACAAGCAGTTGCTCATTGATAAAGTTCTGTGTAGAGCCAGACATGGTTAACACGAATCACACAGACAGATGCTCTGATAGGATTCTGAGAGAGGAGTAAGGAATTGATCAAGCAGGAATGCTCAATAGCCACCACTCCCATGTTACACCCATATAGTCTAATGTAAAACAGTCCACCTTCCAAGTTAGTTCTGGACAAAATCTATCCATGAATCAAAATACATATGCTGGTTTACGGAATAGTTGTTCAACCGGAATATTTATGAAAATGTTAATGTTACTATTTGTAAAAACTGACCTATTGTGGTACTGGATGTGCGTGTGAAGGTACAACATACCACATGCCCGGAAGCCAAGTCACTGCTATATGTGCAATGAAGAGCAGCATAGAATTCACGTGTTACCTTATACTGCTACAATGCAATTAACCCAAACAAAAGAGCATACATTTTTAATCTAGTTTATGTCACTATGAATGATATTCTCTGATTGCTGGTTTCTCTGTTGCTTTTTAATAAACTAATTCAGACTGTACAGGATTTTATGCTGATGGTACCTTGAAAATCCTGGAATTCAACTCCATAACTGACAAATGGTGAGTTTGTCTTTTGTATATTTTTACGTTAACCTGAGCTGCTGCTAAAGCAAAGTCTGTGTCACAGGAAGCTGATTATGAGCCCTTTTCACATTCGTTTTATAAGAATATCTGTCAACCCATCATAGCAATTACAAGTCTGCAGGATAACACACATGTGAATAAACTGGTACAAGATAATTTAAACTCATACTGATTTTATATGGTTCATCCATCAAACAGTGATGTTATATAAGCCACTTCAAAAAATGAATCCCATAAAATAATGCAGCATGAATTGTTTTATCGGACAAAAGATGAAATAACAGTTTATTTCATTTTGCAAGGTAAAATAACATTGCCTGGTGAAAAGTTTACATTAAACTACAGCATGCAACTATTAAAAGAAATTGTGCTTATAGTTATAAAACTATACTTCACTCTCTTTAGTGAAACGTAAATAAATAAAAAAAAGACAGATTGAAACATGTTCACAGATTAAAGATTCTTTCATCCAAGTCAAAGTCCTATTAAATGCAACCTGCTGTGCCCTGGTTTGAAGCCATAAGGTCTTGTAACCATCGGGGGGGGGGGATATAGGCACTTAAACCACGAGATAATCTTATGCATTATTAGTTTTGCAAAAATTGGGTAACTCAGTAAAATTACTGAGTAATTAGTGAACCACATATTAAAAGAGAATTAACTTGCATAGCAATTAAGGTGCAAGCAATGGCGTTTCTCGCATAACACTGAGATTAGCCGATTTTTAAATCCCACTCCAGCTGTGTGAAAAAGAACACAGAAACTTCGTCCAATATTCATATACTGGAAATATTATAAAGGTGTCAAAGAACTAACACCAGTACTGAACATATAAAACCAGTGTCTCATTAACCTGTTCTAATTAGACTTTGACACGCCAGCTATTGTTAACTAAATTTCTAATTGTGTTCAGGTCTTTTTTCATTTATTTTTTTCAGTTATTCATTTATACCTGGAACAATATGCTGAGATTTATCTTATCACAAGAGAACATGTAAAAATATAGATTAGACTTGTGAAAGGCAAGTAAATTTGGTTATGCCAAACAATTTTACTGAAAATTAGATAATTTTTCAAGACAACCAAATTTCATCCATTTGTCGGTTTTCCTCAGCAGAATATTGGTATTGAAACCCGATCTGCAAATTAATCAGATGAACCAAAATGGTGTGAAAAATTGATAATCATTAAACTGCAAAATCTATACCTAATTTATTATGTGTACAGTTATACTAAATGCAGGTTTCAATTACAGAACTCCAAGACTTACATCACTACTGAGCCAAAAGCACAAGAAAAGTCAGTTCCAAAATGCTAAAAATCATATAAATAAGTCACAGAAGTTTTGGGATTCTGTACTGTGGAGCAATGAAGCAAAACTAAAACTTTTCGGCCCAAAGGATCAGCGGTAGGGATGTGCATAGGCAAAAAATTTGGTTCGGTTCAGAAATTTGGTTAAGTAAAAAAATGTGTCTGTTTCGGCAATTCAGACCAATGGCATTCGGTTTGGTTCGTAACTTCGGTAAATCGTAACTTCGGTAATTCGGACCCTAAACCCTAGACCTACTACTTACATTTTCATAGAAACGTAGGTTTATTTTTATACCGCACCCCCTCTACTAAATCCCAGTCCCCTCATATACTAAATCCCAGTCCTCCTCTATACTAAATCCCAGTCCTCACCCTATACTAAATCCCAGTCCTTCCCCCCTCTACTAAATCCCAACACCCCCCTCTAGCCAACAAGCAGACTCCACTTACATTGCCGCTGCCAGTATGCAACTCCGGAGTCCGGCCTCTGGTATTCCCTAAAAGGCACCGTCCGCACTCTGTGCCAAAGTGGATACTCCCGCTACTTCTTGAAACCCTGTGAAGGTGGAGCACGTCGACTTCACGTTGGAATGTGACGTGGCGTACCTCCGTGCACCTCCAGGTACTCCACTGTCCAGCCGCAACCATCAAAACACTGACCAACACACACTCACTTACAGAGACACACACACTCACTGACAGACAGACACAGACATACACTCACTAACAGACACACACACTGACAGACACACACAGACATAAACACTCACTGACAGGCACACACAGACATACACACTCACAGACTGACAGACACACACACACACACTGACAGACAGACATACACACCCTGACAGACACACACACCCTGACAGACACACACACACTGACAGACACACACACATACACACACTCACTCAATCATTCCCTGGTGTCCAGGGGGATCTATCTGGAGCTCAGTGTTCCTGCTCCTCACTGCTCCCTCGCACGCAGTTTAGTGATGCCAGGTGACGTCTTATTCTGGCACCCGGCATCACTACAGATGGCGCGAGGGAGCAGTGAGGAGCAGGAACACTGAGCTCCCACGCTGCCGACCATGTCCTGCTTCCTCTTCTCCGGCCGGGTAAATGATAGCAGAGTAAGCACCTGCAATGTGGGGTGAGCAGGTGCCTACTCTGCTTTTATACGAGGCATGTACTCACGGCTCGCCGGGCTGCAAGGAGATCTCTTGATGTAGAGAGTAAGCTATATACTAAACAGTAGTACTGAATACTAAGAGATCATTGCATGATCTTGGCCTTATCTCCATAAACCTCTTTGATGCTTTGCCAAAGACCTGGAGAGCAAGCTTTGGCCAGAATTGACACAGGTCACAGGACCTGCAGAAGTCATCAAAGGCGTGAAGAAATTAACCCTCGGTTTGATTTGTGTGAAGAGCAGCCATCACCCGTGGTGGGATATCAGCCAACTACCCTACCTCAAGCATGCAAATAAGCCTTTTATGGATTAGGGATAAACATCCAACAGACATGCAGAAACTCTATCTCAAATGAAGGTAGAATAAATCCTGGCTAATCAAGGTGAGTATAACTGCACAAACTTGCTGTGTAGCTTGAATAATAAATTTAGTAATGAAGCAGGAAATATAAGCTCCTTATTACACAGAGCTATCTTCCATGTGCCTCCTAACCTCCCACTCTTTAATGGAACTTTCCAAGCATTATAACTACTACAGTGTACCTTGGTACCTTCCCAGGGTAAGAAGTCAAATAGTTGGGGGGGCGGGGCCTGACCGCCATGCTGCATGGTCGCACGAAACAACAGCTCCAACGACTTTCTGACTTTTTAAGCCTAAAAGAGTAACTCCTGAACACGCTTGACGACCAAAAGTTATGGACTTACACCCATGGGAGCTCCGGTCCTGAGGAGAGGCTAGCAGCAACTGTTTTAGTCCCTCGGGGAGATACACACTGTTCTCACTGGATGAGGCCTACTCGGGCGGTGAGCGGGGTGGACGGCCGCTGCCCCGCTATCCTGCACAGTGGTATAAAGCTGGACTCACTATAATACCGTATGTACCGGGCCCCGTTCCCCCCCCTTTGGGCCGGCGGGGGTGATCCCGGCCCACGCCCTGTGGCCACTACCGTGGAGAAGATCATGGGACCCCACAGAACTACCAACCCACAGCCCAGGCCGCAAGCCACGTCTAAAATGGCGGCAACACACTCACCAGCTTGCACCGAGGAAACTGCTAGCTGCTACGCAACTACCGCAAATCCCAGGTGGGCCCTAAATACATGCAGAGGGCAACCAGGCCGACGGGAACACAAATACTCACCGCATCACCACCAGCCCGACTAATGTTCCCAAAAAGAGTGGCGCAACACGCGAAATGGATGCTGGGGAGGAGGTGAGCAGCCGCAAACCGCTTTGATCCAGCTCATACTAACCGGACCCAGCAGATATATCTTCAGGCTGGCCCAGGCGGCAGGCAACCGGTGCACAGCAACGCTCCCTCTCCTGGATCAGCACGTTCATCGCAGTGCCGCGGGGATTGACGGCTAAATCGCAACAAGAGGTTCCTAACAGTCATATGGGAACTCTCCAGCCTTCTGCCTCCATAAACATGGACTCTATGTGGTCACATTTCCTTCAGCCTTGTTACATGGGAAACGCATTAAACATCAATTGGGGTACTGGTAGTTAACCACCTGCGGTGGGTGTCCTGGGGCGTTCACACACAATAAGCAAAAATGTATTCATAGCGTCTCAGCATTTATACTATTGTACGGCGTAAGCTAGACATATACCCTCAGCCTGTGAAGCGCAACATATAGTTAGAAATGTTTTCTTCTTGTTTAAATCGACTACTCAGCGACATTTGTTTTGTTTTCTCTGCATGTATAATCTTACTTGTACATCACACAAAAAAAAAAAAAAGCGCACATCATCTTGACCTTTTTAGCATGTACTTGTGCTTATACTTTATGTTAAATGCCTATGTCATATTTTGAGCATGTACTTAACATTGCGCTTCCAAAAATAAAGAATTAAAAAAAAAAAAGAAGTCAAATAGTTTGCAAATAGTTTTACCTTGTGTTCAATGGTGCTGGTCACCTCTATCAACTAAACCCAGAGGTGCAATGAGGTGCTCATTGGTTGAGTGCATTCAGTTGATGCTCAGGGCAGCTAATTAAAACTGTTTGCAAACGCTTTCACTACTTACTCTGGATGGTGCCGTGGCACTGTAGTGGTTATAATGTTGGGAGCATTCTTTTACCATTATAAACCATAACTATATCTATAAAATGCAGCATTTCAGAGAGATATTAAAGGACCCCTATAGTGCCAGGAAAACATACTCGTTTTCCTGGCACTATAGTGCCCTGAGGGTGCCCCCACCCTCATGGACTCCCTCCCGCCGGGCTCTGGAGAGAGGAAGGGGTTAAACACTTACCTTTCTCCAGCGCCGGGCGGGGAGCTGTACTCCTCCTCTCCTCCTTGCTCGCGACGTCATCGGCTGAATGCGCATGCGCGGCAGGAGCCGCGCACGCATTCAGTCAGTCGCATAGGAAAGTATTTACAATGCTTTCCTATGGACGCTTGCGTGCTCTCACTGTGATTTTCACAGTGAGAAGCACGCAAGCGCCTCTAGCGGCTGTCAATGAGACAGCCACTAGAGGCTCTGGAGGCTGGATTAACCCTCAGTATAAACATAGCAGTTTCTCTGAAACTGCTATGTTTATAAAAAAAAAGGGTTAATCCTAGAGGGACCTGGCACCCAGACCACTTCATAAAGCTGAAGTGGTCTGGGTGCCTAGAGTGGTCCTTTAAGTTCCCAGGGGTTATATATTTTCGAGTTGCAAGTACATTTCCTGTGATCCTCGTTTTTATGCCAATTAGAACTGCATTTTTTTAGTTACATTTTATCTACATTTAATTCAAGACTTTCAAACTGCAATCTGAAACGATCTAAGAGAACAAATTGAAATAATTTAATTACAAAGTCTCAAGCATTAATATCAGAGAACAAAAGCTAGAGATGAAGAAAAGGCTGCGTGTTCTTTACTAATGTTCAACTGGAGCATGGTGACATCACAAAGCTGACAACTAGATAACATATTTAATTACATTGTCACAAGATTTACCCATGATCAGTTTGGAATCATGCCGTATTTAAAGATCTTTGCATTTGAAATATAAATGTGATTAAATCCCCAGCATAGGGTGAGGATATCAGAGCGGTGAAAGGGTTTATTTTGCTTATTGAATAGCAATTTTCCCATAGGTCTCAATGGAGGAATTCATATAAGAAGAAATAGCCTTATAACTCTGAGAGCACCCAGACTATAATCAAACAAATGTAATGGAAGTAAAATATATGTAATATACTGAAAGAAATAAAAAGGAGAGACATACAATCTAAACATTATTTCATCATGTTTAGCACAAAACTGAAAATCTATTTATAAATATGGATATTATTTCTAAATATATATTTGAATAAAAAATATTAATCTGCATTTCATGTGATTCTTCTAAACAGCCTGGGGCAATACATTTGTGAAGTTGCAGAGTGTTTGTAAGTTATAGCTGTGGGACAATATTCTAACAGTGGAACAATCACATTGAATACCTATGGACTGTCCCTGCTGTGCCCTCAATTACCCTTTATATTTAACAGTTACTGAGCTCAAACCTATTTACACTGGTCTCACAAGCAGATGTATAAATCTAATAAAAGTTGAGTCCCAACAAAAGGATACATATCTAGGGGTCATGTATTTGGATAAAAGTAGTAATAATTATATAGTAAACATAAGCATCATTAGCTACGTACCCCTCACCCCCTCTGCTCTGTCCCAGCTGTACAAATAAAGTATATTTCCTATTTTATTTATTTAGTTATTTATTTATTTGTGCAGGTTAAGGTTCCTTTCTTCTGTAAGGCCTGGCTTCTTGATAAATACTAATCATATAATTTCCATAATTAATATTACTATCTTATTGTATCACCTTTTTTTGCTCCATCGTCTACTCTGGCTGGGAGCTTTAACATCATTTTTTTTTTTTCTTCAGCTTCTCTGCTATCTGTTAGATTGAAGTCACAAGTCTCAAATCGTCTAGTGTCTTGAAATGGAAGAGGGATACAGTATTTGCCCCCCATTGAGTCAAATGCTTAACTTGTAAGCACACTGAGGAACACATCTGTCCAAAAAGCTGTTTGTGTTTACTCAGTCATGCGTGTGTAACAGAAAACAGAGATTTTAGGCTTCTTAAAAACTATGCAGGAAGACCCAAAATAGTATGACGGACTGACTTATTCATAGAGCAGTCAATCCAAGTTAAACAAGGACAAAAATGCTCTGGGGTAAACTCTTAATGTTGAAGTCATGGCAAGTGGAAGGCTACAAAGGTTGTGTTAAAATACTGAACAAAGAAGTATAATCAACTAATAGTTTTGAAAAATACAACTAATGATGGTAAATGTTATGCAGATTAATTTTAAAACAAGTTAATGTCTCAAAATGAGATAAAGATTTCATTATCTTTAAAAGCTGTTGTACAAACTAAAAACACACTCTAAGGCTCTAAAACAATCTCACACATCTTCTCGTTTTTACATGCATCAAAAGTACTTGCTCACACTGGATATTTCACATCTCACTGCAAACTTCTCTACATTGGGCTTGTACGTGTCATTTAAAGTTTGTCATTAATACTGTTTAGTTAGTCAATAATTGCACTGCCTTCCTAAATGTTTCAGGAGCCAGTTTAACCTCCTAATGCTCACGTACAAAGTTTTCCATAACTATGTCCCACTCTACATACAGGGAGTGCAGAATTATTAGGCAAATGAGTATTTTGACCACATCATCCTCTTTATGCATGTTGTCTTACTCCAAGCTGTATAGGCTCGAAAGCCTACTACCAATTAAGCATATTAGGTGATGTGCATCTCTGTAATGAGAAGGGGTGTGGTCTAATGACATCAACACCCTATATCAGGTGTGCATAATTATTAGGCAACTTCCTTTCCTTTGGCAAAATGGGTCAAAAGAAGGACTTGACAGGCTCAGAAAAGTCAAAAATAGTGAGATATCTTGCAGAGGGATGCAGCACTCTTAAAATTGCAAAGCTTCTGAAGCGTGATCATCGAACAATCAAGCGTTTCATTCAAAATAGTCAACAGGGTCGCAAGAAGCGTGTGGAAAAACCAAGGCGCAAAATAACTGCCCATGAACTGAGAAAAGTCAAGCGTGCAGCTGCCGATGCCACTTGCCACCAGTTTGGCCATATTTCAGAGCTGCAACATCACTGGAGTGCCCAAAAGCACAAGGTGTGCAATACTCAGAGACATGGCCAAGGTAAGAAAGGCTGAAAGACGACCACCACTGAACAAGACACACAAGCTGAAACGTCAAGACTGGGCCAAGAAATATCTCAAGACTGATTTTTCTAAGGTTTTATGGACTGATGAAATGAGAGTGAGTCTTGATGGGCCAGATGGATGGGCCCGTGGCTGGATTGGTAAAGGGCAGAGAGCTCCAGTCCGACTCAGACGCCAGCAAGGTGGAGGTGGAGTACTGGTTTGGGCTGGTATCATCAAGGATGAGCTTGTGGGGCCTTTTCGGGTTGAGGATGGAGTCAAGCTCAACTCCCAGTCCTACTGCCAGTTCCTGGAAGACACCTTCTTCAAGCAGTGGTACAGGAAGAAGTCTGCATCCTTCAAGAAAAACATGATTTTCATGCAGGACAATGCTCCATCACACGCGTCCAAGTACTCCACAGCGTGGCTGGCAAGAAAGGGTATAAAAGAAGAAAATCTAATGACATGGCCTCCTTGTTCACCTGATCTGAACCCCATTGAGAAGCTGTGGTCCATCATCAAATGTGAGATTTACAAGGAGGGAAAACAGTACACCTCTCTGAACAGTGTCTGGGAGGCTGTGGTTGCTGCTGCACGCAATGTTGATGGTGAACAGATCAAAACACTGACAGAATCCATGGATGGCAGGCTTTTTGAGTGTCCTTGCAAAGAAAGGTGGCTATATTGGTCACTGATTTGTTTTTGTTTTGAATGTCAGAAATGTATATTTGTGAATGTTGAGATGTTATATTGGTTTCACTGGTAATAATAAATAATTGAAATGGGTATATATTTGTTTTTTGTTAAGTTGCCTAATAATTATGCACAGTAATAGTCACCTGCACACACAGATATCCCCCTAACATAGCTATAACTAAAAACAAACTAAAAACTACTTCCAAAAATATTCAGCTTTGATATTAATGAGTTTTTTCGGTTCATTGAGAACATGGTTGTTGTTCAATAATAAAATTAATCCTCAAAAATACAACTTGCCTAATAATTCTGCACTCCCTGTATTCTCATTACTATATCCTTGTTAAGCAGCGAGTATGTCCCATACTCCTCTGTCTGCTCTACCAACAATTTACTTCTGTCTTCTGTTAGCAGTTGAGCTGTCTACATTCACTAACAGAACTCTAGGGCTGCACCATTTTTATGGAATACACTTCTGTCACCCCATTAGACTGATCCACCAAACCCCATTTGTTTAGGAAAGCGTACTTAAAGGGACACTATAGTCACCTGAACAACTTCAGCTTAATGAGGTTGTTCAGGTGAGAACTATAGCTCCCTGTAGCCTTTCTCATGTAAACACTGTATTGAAAGCTAGGAACACCTCCAGTTGCAGTCACTCAGAGTGAACCAGTGGGACTTCTGAGTTGATGGAGGCATAATATACCTCCATCCACTCAGATCTGCTGTGCATGAGCATCCTGTGATTCAGTATCTCCTCCCACTAAATGCAGACAATGAACTTTCCTCATAGAGATTCATTGATGCAATTCATCTCTATGAGGAGATGCTGATTGGCCAGGGCTGTGTTTGAATCATGCTGGCTCTGCCCCTGATCTGCCTCCTTGTCAGTCTCAGCCAGTCCTACGGGGAAGCACTGTGATTGGATCAGGCTATAACATGTCAGCAGACTGCTTGTTTTTCCTGAGTCTAACAGCATGCAGATTTACAGCTTCTGGCTTGAATACAGTAAGATTTTTACTATATTTATGGAGGCATGAGGGGCCCAGGGGGGCTAGATGGTCGTGTTAACACTATAGGGTCAGGAATACATGTAGTTGCACTGGTGACTATAGTGTCCCTTTAACTAAGTGCCTAATTAACTAAATTCTCCTCCACCTGGCATTCCATTCCATCTGACCTTCCTAATGTCTCCACTAATCCTGTTCCACCATCTCTCCTATACATGTCAAGTACCATCTACAAAGTTTATATTGGTAGTACCCTTAGCAACCTTCCCTTTCTATCTATCATACAGTGACTGGGTAACAGGAAGGAGATATGTTCAGGAGAACTGTTTATAGTATCCAAATATGTAATTACTGATTATTCTGAATATGGATAGCTAGCCTCTGGTATATCTGGGATAACTTACTCAAATCAGAAGACTACGGTTTCCTTAAGCTTCTGTAATCTTAAAACACCAGCCACCAGGGATTGCATCCCCACTCTCTTGTCTTTTCACCTATTCTCTCATATATAAGTATTGGTAGATAGTGTTTCCGTAATATTTGGACATATGAAATACTATTGGGATAAATTGGTCTCATTGCATTCTGTCTATACTTGTAATTTAAAATTAAATGGTTAATGATATGAACCTAAAATCGTTTTCGTTATGTGTAACACTGCTCTTGTTTCTTGTATGTAACATGTTTATACTTAAAAATGAAGACTACAAAATAATGCAAAACAAAAATACTGATATTGAACTATGACTGTTTTTGGTGTTCCTGTGGCCCTTTGACTTTGGCAGCATTACCTATTATTATGATCTACAAGCTGATGGAATTTTGATAAAAACTTAAATTATTTTACATTATGTTGTTGTTTTATACATTACTTTATTATAATAAAACAGCATATTTTGATTTTGGTAAATAAAGCATTTGAAAATAAATAAATAAATATATAATTAGAAATTTAGTCTGGCCACTTGGTATAACAGGTAAATTCGTAATAGTAATCAAAATAAAATATACATGAGATGGAATCTGAAATTTTGAATTTGTCCGTAAAATACAGAAAATACCAACAAATCTCAAAAACAGATTTCCAGCATAGTATTACTTGTGAGACAGTCTCTTACAGTAATGTCAGCCTTATTGTGAAGATGTATCACAGATGTGCATGTTAATACACACAATGTGAACTGGCATTTATTATTAGCCA